GAGGAAATCATTACTTTTGATGTAATTTTCTTTTAAATAGAGTTTTATAATCATAGCAGCATGCCTTATGAATATGTAGTTTTGAATAAAGATGACATACTTTAGGGTGGATCCTCTACAGTGTCCCTCATCTGCTAATTCAGAGGCATCATCGCAGCACAACCTTTCTCCACATTGGGTTGCATGCCGTTCAGTAAAAATAATTTTTAAATCGGGAGTATTAAGCCTCAGATTTCTTCTGCAGAGTTACAGGGATTCTTGCACAATGAGAGGCAAATTCTTCTTGGCACATGGTTGCAAAGTAGTTAAATTTACAGTTTCTGCTGATTCTTCGGTCTGTTTCCCAAATAGTCTGTGACTGTTCTTGACAAATATTAGACCGTTGAGCTTTTGGCGAAGCTGAACGTGTGGCTGAGATGGGCTGCAGATTTCTTTGTCCTCATATACTAACCCCTCCCCTGCTTTTATTTGAGCAGTGACGGGAACTAGGGATGATTGTGCAGGAAAGCTAACCCTGACCCCGGCCTAATCGCACTGTTGTTTTAATCTGCTGGGGAGCAGGCATCTCAGTGGAAAAGCTGAGTGGGCTATCCCGCTGGCCGGTGGGTCAGGTGATCCTAGGTAAACCGTGTGCTCGGGGCCAGTCGCCAGATTGCTCACCTTGAACGGTGTGTGTACATATACACATGTATGGAATATTTCAGTATCAGTATACATTATACATTGACTCTTGAACAACATGGGTTAGGGGTGCTGACGCCCAGTACAGTTGAAAATCTGTGTATAACTTTTGACTCCCCCAAAGCTTAGTTGTCCCTCAGTATCCTCAGGGGTTGGTTCCAGGACTTTCCATGGATACCAAAATCTGCAGATGCTCAAGTTCCCAAGGTGAAGTAGAGTAGGTCAGTGCATACAGTTGGCCCTCCACATCCATAGACTACCACTCATGGATTGAAAATGTATTGGTATTTAATATTGAGAAAAAACCTGGGTATAAGTGGATTTGCCTAGTTTAAACCCATGTTGTTCAAGCGTCAGATGTACTTGGCTTAACAAAGACGCAACCTTTTAATTCATGCTCACAGATCTGGCAGTTGAACTCCCGTTCCCCTGCTGATCTGTGTTATCACTCTCTATGGAACTGTCTTCCATCTTCTCTAGTCTCAGACTCTAACACCCGCTCCCACCCCTCTCACTCTCAGCCGATGGCCTTGCATCTTATTTCCTTGAGACTAAAGCAGCCGAGGAAAAATACGGTCTCCTGTCATCAAACCTCCCAACTACTGTGGCATTAGCCACATCCTATACCTTTCCTCTTTGTGCCAAAATTCAGGGTATCCAGCTTAATCGAAGCCTCCTCTTTTGACCTGGGACCCACCTCTTTTTGGCTATTCAGGAATTTAACACCTGCGTCATCAAATATTCTCTCTCTATTAGATCATTCCCTTCAGCATACAAATAGCCTGAAATTCTCTCCCTTGGTCACACAGCCCTGTTCTGCTACCTCATTGCTTTGCCTCCAATTACTGAAAATTCTACAAAAGAATTGTTTGTGCTCTGTCTCCATTTCTTTTTTTGTTTGTTTTCTTTTTAAAATTTAAATATAGTTGGTACACATTATTATATTAGTTTACAATATAGTGTACAATATAGTGACTCGACATTTATATACCTTATGATACGATCACCACACTAAGTCAAGTAACCAGCTGTCACCATGCAGCTGTCACAATATTTTAAACTACATTCCCCTTCTTTTTCACCCATCTTCCCCCCTCCCCCCACCCCGCAACCATCAGTTTGATCTCTGTTTCTATGAATCTGTTTTTGTTTTGCTCATTTGTTTTTTTAAATTCCACATATAAGTGATATCATATGTTTGTCTTTCTCTGCCTGACTTATTTCACTGAGCATAATATCCTCTAGGTTCATCCATGCTCAGTTCTCTCATGAACTCACTCATTCCATCAAAACTGCCCTTGTAGAGGTCCGTGATGGCCACTACCATGCCAAATCCAGTGACCAGTTCTCAGTCTGTATTTTATTTAATCTTTCAGTGCATTTGACAAAGTCCTTTTTAAAATCCTGTTTTCAATATTGCTTTTTCTTTCATCTCCCTGCTTATCCCTCCCTCATAGTTTTCTCTGCTAGATAATTCTCGATTTTCTGACCTCTGAATGTCAACTGTCAAATTAGCATGTCCAAATTAAACCTTGTTTCCCTCTTTCAGATGTGTTCCCAGGCCAGGAAAAGGAGTGATCTTTGACTTCATTCATTTCCCACCCCTAATCTATCCACAGATCTTGATAGCTCTGTCGTGTCAAAACCAAGCCCTACCATTTTTATCACCACCGTCTGACCTTCATCCCGTCAGCCAGCATTCTGGGGGTCATTGCAATCAAGAGCTTTTCACTGGGACCCCTGCGTTCCTCTTTTTCTTTTTCTTTTTTTAAAATATATTTTATTGATTTTTTACAGAGAGGAAGGGAGAGAGATAGAGAGCTAGAAACATCGATGAGAGAGAAACATGGATCAGCGGCCTCCTGCACATCTCCTACTGGGGATGTGCCCGCAACCCAGGTACATGCCCTTGACCGGAATCGAACCTGGGACCTTTCAGTCCGCAGGCCGACTCTCTAGCCACTGAGCCAAACCGGTTTTGGCGCGTTCCTCTTTTTCATGGTTTCCTCTCAACAGAGCACTCAGGGTGATGCTTTCAAGACTTAAGTTATAGCACACCACTCTTCTGCTGCAAATTTCCAGTGGCTTCCCATCTTGTTTGGAATAAAAGCCAAAGATGGCACGCAGGCCGGCCTCATCTGGCCCCTGTGACCTCTGACTGCAGCATCACCACTCTCCTCGGTTCACTCCGCCCGGGGGCACGGATCTCTGTTCTCCACGCCAAGTCCCCTTCCGCATCGAGGCGTTTGCGCTTGCTGACTGATGCCTCTAAAACTCCCCCAGTTTCCTCAGATGTTGTCACCTCATTGCCTTCATGTTTCTACTCTCAGTTCAGCTCCCAAAGAAGCCTTTCCCTGGCCACCCTACCTAAGGAGCACCTCTCCCTGTCCCTGCCAGCCCACCCAGGGCTACCCACTGTCCCTATTCTGCTTTAACATTGTTTCTTAGAACTTAACCACCATCATGTATTTCTTTTCCTTTCGTCTGTCTCTGCTCTGTGGAATGAAAACACAGGAGTAGGAACTTCTGATCACAACACAATGGTAGCATTCCTCCGCTGCTCCGTGAGCATTTGTTATTGAGTCAACGAATAAGTGCTCATGTACATATGCAGTGGGTTATTGCATGTGGTTCCATGGGAAAATAATAATTCTAACTTTCTATTTTAAATTTAGATAGGTAGCCCTGTTTTATCAGAACTGCATTGCCTTTACTGCTTGTCTTCAAGATCTCACTTTGCCAGATGATGCCGTTTGCTTAGGCCTTGCTTTCTGAGCTGGCAGGACTGTAAGTCCTGTCCTTCGGCCAGCTTGTGTCCAGCAAGGTGCTTAACTTTCTTCATATGCTCATGGACTAAAGAAGGGCCAGCATGCCTTTTGAAATGTACTTAGAGTACATGAGTCCTTAGGTTTTCCAGTTAAAAATAATTTCTCTTTAAGATGGACCTTTAAGTCTAGTGCTCCATTAGGTGATTTCTCAGTAGTGTGATGTTTTTAACATTTGTCATGAGATCACTGCCATCTAAAAACATCAGCCAATTTGCTTTATAATTAACAAAGCAAAAACATTTGTAACTTACTGTATAATTAATTTTATTTATGGCCACTTAGATCAAGCTTATTTTGGCAAGCCCCCTTTTAGGGGAAATCTCAGATAGAGATTTTACTAACAAATAGTATGTCAATGATTTTCATTTCATGACACACATAAACTAATTACTAAAATTCTGTGGCACATCAAAAATATATTCTATTTTATGCCTATCTGACAAAGAAAATGGGTATAATTTTGATTCTTTCACACCGGACAGCTATTGTTGTGTTGCCTGTTGTCATTTTTGTATTTGACACCGTAAGGGAAAAGAGGCCAGTGCCCCTGCTAAATAGGCAGGTAGTGCCTGTTTCAAACGTTCTTGCGACGCACCGGCTGAAAATCACAGGATAGGCTGATCTGTCTTTCAAAGCATTCTATTCAGATAAGTTACATCCCAAGAATTTTAATTATATAAAATTATGCTTCTCTATAATACAAACAGAAACCTAAAAATCCCAAAATAAAAATTTCATTTGTGAGCAAATAGGAATTTAGTTTTAAAATCTATGTTCTTAAGTATATCGTTTTGCTCAAGCATCTACTGTCATGGCACATTTTTTTCTTGTAAGTATAGCCACTGTGACATTAAGTTCATTGAAAGGTTCCCACTTAACTCTTATGAAGGTGACACTTTTTATTAAACTAAAAAGACGAGGCATCTGTGACACTAGGGACACATACTGTTTACAAAAGCTCATTAAAGCCAGATGAGGCCTGGAAACCAGGAGTGAATGTTCCTCCGGAGACCTCGGCTTTATGTGAAACCTGAGTGCCTTTAAATAGGGCAAGTGATTCTCGCTCCCCCTCCCCCAGCGGAGCATTCCTCCTGGAAAAACCAGAGATGCTTCTGGGTGGGTGGGATCTTGGCTGCTCAGGATAGTACCTTCTGTCAGAGAAAACAGCTCTCAGCTCCTGTGTAACTTCCCGTTCCGATTAAGTGTAGAGAGGAGGATTCACTGGGAAATGAGTCGTCCAGGATGGAGTGGAGGTGAACAGCACTGCAGGGCCCAGGGCAATTGCAGAGCGCGTTAGCTGTCCCTGCGTAGAGGTTTTAGGTAGTACAAACTAAGGACTTTAAGATTCTTAGATAAACTTCTCTTTGCATTGCCTTTTTTAGAGGTTTAGAGAAATGAGCACTTTCCATAGTTTAACTATTTCTCTTTCATTTTTCATTCCTTTTCCATGTCCATTTTTTATTTCACCCAACACCAAAAATGCCCTTTCAGAAACACAAAGTAGATCTTTTCTACAAACTACGCCATGTGATGAATGAACTTATTGACCTTCGAAGGCAGCTACTGTCTGGTCACCTGACTCAGGATCAGGTGCGGGAGGTTAAGCGGCACATCACCGTGCGACTGGACTGGGGGAATGAGTAAGTACGGCTGTGATTTGGGCATCGCTCAGTTTTATTTACAATAACTCAGTCCTCATGGAGTTTGCACTTAATCATAGCTTCTCTTTAGTGATTAAAAGTCATTATTATATTATCTACTAAGCTTTGGCCATTTTTACTACGAGTTGTCATTTCTTTTAGTTTAGCAAAGGACACTCATTGGCTTTACTCACTGAAACTCTCTCAGCCTCCATTTTAACTTCTGGAAAATCAGATTGGACAACATGATCTACTGAGGTCTCTTCCAGCTCAAATTCCTTGATTATCGACCTCAGGAATCAGAATATGCTTTGTTTCATCTTTTAGTACCTTTTTAATAAATGTGAATTTGGTGCCCTTTACCTTTTATAGTCATGCAGTGCATCTAAATAAGCGTATACTACAATGGGAATTTCTACATCTGTACTTCAGAATATTCTTAAACTAATTTTCATTCAAATATAGTCCTGTATTTATAGGTGTGATTATTTGCTATTGCCATATAAGTACAATCCTAAGACTTTGGTATGGGAAGCTAGAGTAAATAGTATTTAGATTTTCTTTCTTCCTAGACTTAATAATTGATATAATTTTCAGATACTTTTGTCTCATTCTCTTAAAATCATGTCCATTGAACTTTGAAGTGACCAGTTTACTTCCTATAAGATATACATGTACCTAAAGTATATTAGTACAAGTCTTTAGCTCCTCTCCCTCTCAAGACATCATTGAAATATTAGAAAACAAAAGGAATGGGAGGGGGGGCCAGCAATAAATGAGATCTATAAACCCATTTCTACAAAGTAGTTGGAGGATTAGTGACAGAGGAAGCCCAGTATATGTGGGGGAAATGTTAGCTAATGAAGGAGCTGCTCCTTTGTAACTCCCAGAATCATGGAAGGTAGGAGTGGGCCTTGGAACATAAAAAAGGGGGATTCTTGAGAGTCCGTAAAAGAACTAATCCACCACCATGAGGGAATGCCTGGCAGCCAGGTGTTAAACTTCAGACTCGCAAATACAAAGGCCAGCTGCCCGGGAGGAAACTGGACAAGAGAGAGCCGGGACCTTATTGTGGGTTTCAGAGTGTAATGGACAAATCCCTTCCACTTAGCAAAAAGAGAAGCTGCTAGCCACCCACCCATGTACAGAAAACTCCCACACTTCGAAGGGCTTTGAAGTCTGAATGGACAATCGAGTATCATCAAATATTTGAAGAAATCCTTCCATAGGGAAGAGACAGAAATCAGAGTAAACAAAATACCTAGCCCAGAGGAAGGCATCAGGCCCCAGAGAGAATCAGAGAGGAGTAAAGAACTTTTTTATTTTCATTTTCTTGATTGATTAAGGTATTACATATGTGTTCTTACCCCTTATTGCCCCCCCACCCCACTCCCGCTCATGTCCTCACCCTCCTAGTGTCTTGTCCATTGGTTAGGCTCATATGCATGCATATAAGTCCTTTGGTTGCTCTCTCCCCCTTACTCCCCTCACCTGCCTGCCTTCTGAGGTTTGATGGTCTGATCGATGCTTCTCTGTCTCTGGATCTGTTTTTGTTCATCACTTTATGTTGTTCATTATATTCCACAAATGAGTGAGATCATGTGGTATTTATCTTTCTCTGACTGACTTAATTCACTTAGCATAATGCTCTCCAGGTCCATCCATGCTGTTGCAAATGGTAGGAGTTCCTTCCTTTTTATAGCAGCGTAGTAGATGTACCACAGTTTTTTAATCCACTCATCTACTGAACTTTTAAAAAATCTCTGAGTATCCTCCAAAAGAATCAAGAAAATTTATTATGTAGAATAAAATGCTATGAAAAAGGAACAGAGTATGTGACTTCCAAAATAAAACATTTAGGAAGATAATTTTATGTTGTCACTAGGAAAATCAAAAAGAATGGGAAGTGATTGAAGAAAGAAGGGCAATACAGAGGGGTTAGGCCAGGGGGTCCCACATCAGACATTATAATTTCCAGGAAAAAAAAACCATACAAAGGCAAATAAAGAAGAAATTCCAAAGAAATGCTGGAAGAACATTTCTCAGAGCCAAAGAACCAGGAGTCTTGGGATTGAAAGGGCCCACCAAATGCCTAATATGAATGGGGGAAACCCAAAACCCACACAAGGCACATGAAGATAGTTCAGTGTCCCAGGGATGATGAGAAGATCCTAAAAGGTTTTCAGACAGAAAAACAAGTCTTAAGAATAAGGATCACATTGGCCTCCAAAGTTTTATCAGTAACACTGGATGCTAGAATATGATGAAGTAATATATTCAAAATTATGTTGGGAGATGTGCAACCGTACTATCTAATCATTTCCTGCACTTCCTAGTAACTCTTCCTTGTCCTCAAACCATAGAGAAGGCCAGGAACCTCCCTCCGAGGGGGTTGTGGTGAACACGTGTTGCTTCTCACTGTGCAGCCTCTCTTCCTTCTTCCAGTGGGGACAGTCGTCCAGCTTAGCTTTTGAGGACTACTCTCTCCATTGAAGTCAATCTTAGTAGAAGGAGCTTGTCTTCTATTCTATCAGATCACCTGTGGATCATTCTCTTATTTCTTAATGAAATGGAGAAACTAAAAGGTGCTGTGGTCTAGTGACTTCCAGGAGAGGGAAAGTACTCGCCCTCAGGGGAGAATTCGCCTGATGAGTCCCATCATTGGTTGACTGAAAACGGCCGTGTTTCTTGTATTCAGCACCTTGGTCAGTGCATAAAAGGTCTGAGGTGAGTGGATGGGTATGTAGGTGGATAGCTGAGTGGACAAGCAAGGCAAGAGTGTCAGAGTGCTAATAAGAGAGAGTTTGCATGGGTATCACTGTGTGCGGTGCACCGATTCAGAGCACTTTCACCCATTCCCAGTCCTATTGACTTAGATCCATCTGCATTTTCCCTTAAGCTCTTATATTGAAAACACCTATTTTAATTGGGTTATTTGCATAGTCTTTTTGTTACTTAATTCTACTATTAGTCTATCACATATTTTGTGACCTCTAGTGGTTAAAGAATATATATAAAATTTTGTCTCATTTTTGTATTTAAAAAGATTTCAGTGGCATGACTACAGAATATTTGGAAAATGTTCTAAATGATCACTTGTAAAATGAACACGTGTACATACTGTTGTAAGCAGTTTCAGGGGTCCACAGTTCCACTGGACTCCAGGTTTAGAGCTGTTTTTCTAGAGAGAGAGGAAGGAGCTAACATTTATTGGCTATAAACTATGTACCATGTTTGAACCCAAGAGTTCTGATTATGTCCAGTTAGTCACTGTCTCACACTGTCTCCAGGTCGACCGTTAATCACATGACTTCTTCCTTTCTGCCCAAGTTATACCAGATCTTCCAAGTATTGAGTTCTTTGGGAGCAGTACTCCTTGGTTAAACTTCTGTCTAAAGTTTCTTAACATATTGGCTAATATGTGGTAATGTCTTTACTATATATAACCCAATGTCAGTTTTAATTAAATTGAAAATGAGATAAAATTCCACCAAAACATACATTTCTTTGCATTTATTATCTTCAGCAGGTGATTTTGTTCTGTGTTTAACTTTGGATTACACATCTACTTGGATCCTAGATAACTTCTCTTGGTAGTGGAAGTGATGCATGACTGAACCTTGAGCATGCTTGTAGGATGGGGAGAAATTTAAAAAAAGTGACTTATTAATGATCTATGGAAAACCCGTCCTTAGTGAACACAATCGGTCCGTTAACAAGGTGATATCAAATGAATCCTTCTTACCATCACAAGGGGACTGCTGGAGCCTAGACGTGTGTCAGCCTTACGTATTCACCTAAAGGTGAACACAATGAAGTCTTACCAGAGGCCTGTACCCCCGCGGCAGGGTCTGAGCCCCTGTCCACAAGCTCATGGCGGCCTGGGCTCTCAGCACGGACAGAAAGCTGAGCACGCGAGGACATGCGTGCTGAGTGTGGTCTTTCTCTTCACTAGGCATTTGGGCCTGGACCTGGTGCCTCGGAAGGACTTTGAGGTAGTGGATTCGGACCAGATCAGTGTCTCTGACCTCTACAAAATGGTAAGAAACCTGACGCTTGTTCCTGCACACCTCCTCTTTCTCCTGTACTTTTCCTAATTATGTTATGAACTAATGTTATGAAATAGAAGTGTTCCTTTGTCGTTGTCCCAGTATAATGAAGGGGTCTTCCTTATTCTGGCAGTGTATCACACTTGCTTTTCTAAATGGAATTACTGTGGAGAGAGCTGGGCTGTTGTTCTGTCAGTGGGGCATTTCTCTGTTGGTTGCGCTGGTGAACAGAGCCAAAGCTCCTTCGGCCTTCACCAGTTCCTAAAGTTCTGTCTCTAGTTGAAGCTTAAAAAAGCCAGTTATTGGCTAATGTAGTGATTAACCATGGAAATAATGTGTCAATATTTCTAAGAGAGAGACAACCTGTTAAATCCTTGGTTGTTACAAAAATGTATTGAGTTGGCAAATGGCCAAGATTACATTTTATAAGCTGACTGAAAAGAAGTAAATGAAAGAAAGATACACAATTTTAAAGTAAAACAGACATCAGAAACCTCAGGTGACTATTAAGTTTAGACTAAGGGACTGGGTGAAACCTCACTTTAAGGAGAATGTACATATTCAAGGAACACACAGGGTGCCCCTGAAGTGTACACACTTTGCATAATTATAAAGGTAGTGCTTGTTAAAATATACTTCATTTTCAAAAATGTAATAGAATCTGAAGACATAGTGTGTATATATTTTGGGGGGACACCAATTTTTGGAACACCCTGTATACTGGTGAGAATTACAAGTTTTAGAAAGAACTACAAGTTTCTATTTAAGAAGATGAAAAGGTGTTCAATATCACTAATCATTAGGGAAATGCAAATTAAAACCGCAATGAAATATTACTTCACACCTGGAATAGAATGTCTGTCATCACAAAGACAAGAGCTGAGTGGTGGCCAGGATGTGGAGAAGAGAACTCTTGTGCACTGTTGGTGGGGATGTAAGTTTGTATAGTCGCTATGAAACTGTATGGAGATTCCTCAAAAAATAAAAAATATAACTACCATCTGATCCAGTGATCCCACTTCTGGATATGCACCCAGAGGAATTAAAATCAGGATCTCAACGAGGCAACTGCACTCCCATGTTCATTGCAGCATATTCACAGTAGCCAACACATAGAATCAACCTAAACAAATGTCCATTGGTGGATGAATGACTAAAGAAAGTGCTGTGTATGTGTACAGCGGAATACCATTCGTCGGCAAGAAAGAAGTTACCTGTCATTTGTGACAACATGGGTGAACCTTGAGAGTATTGTGCTAAGTAAGTCAAAGAGATAATCACAAATACTTTAGGGTCTAATATGTAGACTCTGAAAAAGCTGAATTCATAGAAACAGAGTAGAATGGTGATCGCCAGTGGCTGAGGGAGGGGGGATGTTGGTCAAAGGGTGCAGACCTCTACAGCGAAGAGGATTGCGTTCTGGGGATCTATGCTCAGGATGGGGATGGTGGGTGAGAGCAGGGTGTTGTGTACTGGAAGTTTCTAAAAGGGCAGTTCTTAAATCTCACACCCAGCAACAGGCAGTTCTGTGAAATGAAATTAGCTTATTTCACAGCATATATGTGTATAGAATCATCACATCCTACACCTTAAATGTATGCAGCACTGTATGCCAGTTATATCTCATACAGCTAGAAAAACACTTTCCCAGAAGAGAGATATGAGTCTCCAGATTGAAAGGGTAGAACAAGTATTTAACATTTAATTGGGAAATTTCAGCTCACAAAGCTGAAAAGCTTCCTGAGAGAAAAATAGGTGACCTACTAAGGATTTGTTGTAAGAATAGCATTTGTCTTCCTAAAAGCAACATTGAAAACTTGCAACAATGAAGAATTGCCTTTAAAGTGCTGACGGGGACAAAATTCAACCTAGAATTTTATGTTTACTGAGCCACATTATCAGTCAAATGGGAAAGTGGCCTAGAGAAAATTTTGCTCACTTAGTCTCAAAAAAAAAAATCTCTTTCTTTAAAAACCCTTTTCAGGAAACCACTGAATAGTAATTTACTTATTTAAAATATGGGAGGAAACCAAAAGACGCTATTATGTGCCATCAGGAAAGGACTTCTGACTCAGTTGAGAGGTGCAAAGAATGCTCGGGGTGACCTCAGAGGGAAGTCCCGGGTCACAGGGGGGCAGCCGGCCTGAGAGTAACTGGTCCTCGCCGAAGCAGAGGCGCCGCCAGCAGGGGTCTCCCAGGTGAAAGCCCCCTTCATGGAGGGTCTGGTGGCTTTCCCGTGTGGGAAACGCTGTTGAAAGGGCTTTTGGAGAGCTATTGGAGGGCATAGGAAAGGCCCTACAATTTAAATAAAACTAAGTGACCTCCAATACAAAAGCAGAAGGCAGTAGAAGAAAGGAAGTGTAGTTGAAGGTATACTACTTGGCTTAGCAGTGAACAGTAGTTAAATGTTACAATAGTATAAACAAGTTTTGACCAAAACTCGTGAGAAGTGAAATAGATATAAACAAATACGATAATCCTCAGCTCCCATTATAAAAGGCCACAATAGAGAAATCGAAAAATGGATAGAGCGAGAGTATTATAAGTATGACATATAGAAATATTTTATTATTTTAGGAAAAAACACAGTAAAGGTACAGAAAACCTTTTTGCGGCACAGAACAGGGTGAACAGAGGGCTGGTAACTTTATTGCAAACTTTTAAAAAAATATGTTTTTTATTGATTTCAGAGAGGAAGGGAGAGGGAGAGAGAGATAGAAACATCAGTGACGAGAGAGAATCATTGATCGGCTGCCTCCTGCACGCTCCCCACTGGGAATCGAGCCTACAACCCAGGCATGTAGTCCCATGAATGAATATTAATAGTCAGTAATAATTTGCTAATTTAACTAACAATGCACATGAATATTTAATAGCAAATACAGCTTGTGAGATGCATTTAAATGAATATTTAATTTTACTTTAGTTTTATCTAGGTTTAAATGTGTGTATTTGGGAAAGAAATGAGACCATTCTACTCAGAAACCAGTCTTTGTGCCTGTGTGATGTGGAACAGTTGACCAAATGCGCGTTTCCTCGCACTTCTAGGTCCCACAGGAAACAGGATAGAAACTCACTATTGAGTTCACTAAGACCAGGCACCTAATGTTTGTGAGCTAATCATTTTTTCTTTGGCAAGGGTTACTTCTAAATGTGACTGACTTTTCTATAGTAACTAATTATAAGAAGAATACCAATAATAAGAAGAATACTAATCATAGATAACAGTGGTCAATCACTCACAAATATAGGTATATACTAATTTAATCTGCACAAAATCCTGTGATGTTGAGTTCACAAAATGTTATCCTTGTCCTGGCCTGTTGCTCAGTGGTTACAGCGTTGGTCCTTGGACTGAAGGTTTCCCGGTTCAACTCCCAGTCAAAGGCACACACCTCATTTGCTGGTTCGTTCCCCACCCTCGGTTGGGGTATGTGCAGGAGGCAGTCAGTCAATATGTCTCTTTCACTTCGATATTTCTCTCTCTCTCCTCCCTCCCTCTCAATCTCGCTGAAAATCAGTGGAAAAACTGTCCTCAGGTGAAGATTTTAAAAAAAGTTATCCTCAGTTTACAAAGGAGGAAACAGGTTGAGTCAAGATGGAAAATCAGGTGTCCTGACGTAGGTTCCTAATTACTATGTCATGCTGCTTCTCAGTGTGAAGTTTGAGCCTCATAATAGCCCTGTGAGGAAGACAAAAGCCTTTATCTTATTGTTACAGTTAAGGAAAACATCTCTTGGAGAGAGTAAGTGATTTCTCTGAAGTTTCACAACCTACTTGGGTGTGGCTGGGAGTGGGATCTGCTGCTTCTAACTGAGCCAGCAGTAGAGGACCCGCAGGGAGAGATGCTTGGGAGGGAGCCCCTTCGGGTTAAGGCTGCACCTCCTCAGTGTGGAGGCGGGGAAGCTGGATCACGGGGCTCAGGGCACGGTGCAGGCAGCATGTGGAGAGAAGGAGCGAAGCACAGCTCCAGTGGCAAGTACTTCCTGTGGCTTGGCTGGTACCCCGAGCTGGAGAGGCTTGGGTTTGGATCCAGATTTTGCCCCCTTCTTGCCATGTGAGCTTCAGCAGACCGCTCCCATGTACTAAGCCTGAGTTGTCTAAGGCTTGATCAGATATGAGTAACACTTATCTAACGAGGCTATCAGAATTAAATGAGATCATATATGTAAAAGGCATAGCAGAATGCCTACCATATGGAAAGAAGATGCGTAAGAGACATTTCCTTCCCAGTGGAGTGAATTGTTCTTTCCTCTCTCCATAGCATTTGTCCAGCCGGCAGAGTGTACAGCAAAGCACGTCCCAGGTAAGCGGCTCACCAGCCCCGGGGAGGCACCAGGAGATGGCGCCCCCGGCTTTTCCCTGTGTGGCGCTTTCCTCTGGGAGCCCTGCCCTTTACCAGATTAGTCCCGGCTCCCTCCTCTGTGCATATGTACACAGCGCAGCCGAGAGAGAGGAGGCCGAGCGGCTGCACGGAGACACACGTGTCACTGCGGATGGGAGCTGTTCCACCTCGCAGTGAAGTCATGTGCATCAGGACCAGGCAGGATCCCCAGGAAATGGTTCCCTGGGGAACTGAGATGTTTGTGGCCTGGGGGAGACTGAGCTCACTCGTGAGTCGGAATTCCCGTTCCTCCACCGTGGCTCGCTGTTCGCTTCTCCCAGCGCGTGTGTGCCCTCCCGCAGAGAAAACACCTCCAGGCTCAGTGCGGGGAGTTAGTCACTTAGTTTTCCTTTTATTTATGATTAATAGCCATGAATCAGTAACAGCACTGGGTTTTGCCTTTCTCGTTAGGTAGACACAATGCGCCCACGCCACGGGGAAGCCTGCCGGATGCCCGTGCCCCATCACTTCTTCCTCAGCCTGAAGAGTTTCACCTACAACACCATTGGGGAGGACACTGACGTCTTCTTCTCCTTGTACGACACGAGGGAAGGCAAGCAGATCAGGTAACACTGCTAGAGGTTCTGATGAGGCTGAGGCTCTGGGTTCAGATGGTAGCGCTCTGGCCTTCAGAGAAGATAGATGCACCGGGGAAGCAAAAAGATCAAGTAGCCTTCTCTCACGGAGCTGGGCGTTTTGCCTCCGGTCCCCGTGTGTCCTGAAGGCACGTGTGTGGCCTGTTTTTATCCTGTGCCTCCTTCCACGTGGGGCTCAGATCCCAGTCTGGGCTGTCAGCACTGCAGGGAGAGAAAGGCACCTGTTCAGCCAGAGACAAGGAACAGGAGGAACACGGAGCAGCAGGGTCGCAGGGGCCCAGCACGCGGGAGAGAGGGCTCGCAGGGCAGCAGGCGATGTGTCCTGAGTGAGGCAGCGCAGCCCTCAGTGCCGCTCCAGCCCGTGAGGGGACAGCATCTGCCCGGCAGAGGGAGGGGGCCTGGCCTGGGGGGAGGGGCACTGCCAGGGGCTGAGGTGAACCTGCTTTCCCCTCCAAGGCGAAGGCGAAGTCGAAGGCGAAGGCGAAGGCGAAGGCGAAGGCGAGGGAGGCGGCGGAGGAGCCACTCCAGCTCCTCTTCCCCGGAGGCCGGCTGAGCTATAAAGTTCTTTATCTTTCTGGAGGCTAAACCCTTAGCAGATCCAGGATTCACACGTTTCTCCCGTTCTGTAGGGTTTCTCCACTTCCTTGATAATGTCCTTTAATGCACAACAGTTTTTACTTTTGAAGAAGTCCAGTGTTTCTAAGTTTTCTGTCATTGCTTTTCGTATCATAAGCACATTTTAAAAATTGTGTACATATTACTTTGAACAATTTGATGCCATTAAACATACTCAGACATGCAAGAATGTCACTTTGTAATAGCAAATATCTTAAGGCAGTCTAAATAAATAATAGTGTAACCTTTGAAAATACTGAGGCAGAAAGAAGTGAGGGACTAAATTAGTCTTCTGTTGCGTAACAAATTGCCACAAATGTAATGGACTGAAATGACTGATTTTAGTTCGCAGGTCTGCGTGCTCTGCTCAGGGCATCGCCAGCGGAAGCCAGTGTCACCTCGGCTGCAGCAGAAGCCAGTGTCACCTCGGCTGCGTTCTAGTCTGACAGCCGGGGGGTGCTCCAGCCTCACAGATTCCGTTTCTCACGGTTGTAGAAAGGAGCCTCCCACTCCCCTGCTGGCTGTCCGCTAGGAGCTGCTCTCGGCTCCGAAAGGCACCTGCTTTCCCTGCCTGTGTGGCCCCCTCCATCTTTAGGGAGCAGCAGTGCAGTGAGCCCTTCCCAGGCTTCGAATCTCTGACTTCCTTTTCTGCAACTGGTGGGAGAAAATTCCGCACTTTTTAAGGACTGGCTCACCCAGATAATCTCCTCGTTTTACAGTCAGTCGTGTCATAAAATACAACCTGATCATTGGAATAACAGCCACTATATTTGCATTCCTGGGGATTATGCAACCTTAGAATTAAGAGGCAAGTTTGGGGGACCATCTTAGAATTCTGCCAAAAAAGGGACTACTTCTGCTTCTACATTCTGTATGTAAAAGAACATTAATGAAATATTGTTCACTGTTCACAACTACATGCATAGTATGACTTCAGTAACTTTTAAAAGACTACAGTTTTTGAAAAGAATCTTTGAATTGACAGATATTTGAAGTTTTGTTAGTAATTGTAGCTGGCAACAGTCTTTTAAGGAAAAGACAATGATAGTGAATTATAACAAAGACTGGTTGCGCTATATGGAAAAAAAAAACCTCCAAAACATTTCATTGATACTTGTCCCCTTCTTTAAATGGCCAGCTTGGCAGTGTGGCACCAACACCTGCTTTGCTTTTCAGTGATGATGGGGTAAGGTAAGAGGAGAATTTAAAATGTCTTTCCTATTTTTTCCTAATATCATGGGTTCCCCTTCTAAAAGGAAGTCATTACCTTTGTTTAAAAATATTTTTCTGTATGCATATCTATTATGACTGTTAACCATTATCTTATTTAACAATTACCATATAATTACCTCCTCAAAATAGTACACACAATCATCTTCTAGAATAGAGTCGTGTTATCAGTATTTGGTTCTGTATGGTACACTTCTCTTTTCTATTATGTGGTTTCCCTATTCACAGGAGGCGTGTGATTGTGTCACTAACTTATTTTCTCTGCAGCACTGGTGTGCCTGTCAGTATGCCCGGCTCTCTCCCTGGCCCTTAGGTTTAGCAGGTGCTCTAAGCCTCAGGGCGCCGGTGACTGATCTCAGCACTGCACTGCCTGTCCCCAAGGAGTCTTCTCTAGGCTGGGGGGGGGGGGGGGGGGTTTTTTGGTTTTGG